GGAAAACTAATACTGTCCTTGAATTAGGGAATCAATTTACATTGATCTGAACAGGTGAACAGGAGGAGAGAGGTACTCTCCTTGGGAGCAGGTGATCATTTGGGCAGAAACTGAGACCTAGAGTTTTGCAGAATCATGGAAGCTCTGTAACCCATCAAAATTACACTGGGAGCAGATCCTATTTTCACTAGTAAGGGATCAGAAGCAGGGTGTGACTCATAAATGAGGGAAACCCAACTCACAATGTCATTAGAACTTTGTGCTAAGTTCAAACAGACCTTATTCTCGCTGCAACAATGGCCTTACTCTGCAATGTGTGAGTTACAATGTTTTAGAGCAGTCATTATTGTAATGAAGTCAGTAATAGACATGGAGAACTTTATTTCATCTCTGCATGGCCCCTGAGGTCTGCCTATGGTGGATACCAGGTTTGTTGGCATTGGAGATTGTGAGTGCATAGGATGGTAGGTTGGTGCATGAGCTTTGTAATTTGGCATTCAGTTAACATAGGATCTCCACAGTTCCATTTAGTGATCTCCATAGATAGTCAAAGGTCAGTGAATTCACCTTCAAATTCTTTTTAACTGTATCTTCCAGTTTGATTTATATAGTCATAGTGTTAAAGAATCATACAGCATGGAAACAGATCCTTCAATCCAACCAGTCCATGCTGAACATAATCCCAAACTAAACTAGTCCCACCTGCCTGCTCCTGGCCCATATCCCTGCAAACCTTTCCTATTCATGTACTTGTCCAAATGTCTTTTAAACATTGTAATTGTGTTTACCCCCACCACTTCCTCAGGAAGTTCATTACACAGGTGAACTACTCTCTGTGTAAAAAGATTTGCCCCTCATGTCTCTTTTAAATCTCTCTCCTTTCACCTTAAAGAATTGCCTGCAAATCATACAGTTCAGAAAACAATGAACACAAACACAGGAAAACACAAATGAGCTGTATTTCAAGCAGCGCCTTGCCAGAGAAGCAGACAGAAAGATGGATTTGTAACTGGAGCAAATTGGATAAATCTTTCAATGCTGTTGTTGGAATATCGTCAGGGCCTGTAGCCTTTGCAGTTTCCAATACTGTTTCTTGATATCATGTAGAGTGAATTGAATTGATTGAAGATGCAGGGACCTCTGAAGGAGGATGGATCATCCACTCAGCATTTCATGCAAGAAGATTCATGCAAATACTTCAACCTTATCTTTTGCACGGATGTATTGGGCTCCCTCACCTCTGAGGATGGGAATAATCATGGAGCCTTCTCCTTTAGTATGCCTACCACAATTCACAACTGGATGTGGCACGATTTCAGAGCTTATATTTGATCTGTTGGTTGTGGGAACGTTCACTCTGTCTATCGCTTGCTGCTTACACTACTCAGTATGCAAGTAGTCCTGCTTTGCAGTTTCACCAGGTTAGTATCTTATTTTTGGGTATGCCTGGTGCTGCTCCTGGCATGCCCACCTGCACTCTTGCTTGATTCAGTGTTGATCCCCTTATTTGATAGCACTGGTGGAGTTGGGAATTATGCCAGGCCATGAGGTTGTAAATTGTGCCTGGGTCCAAATCTGCTGCTGATGGCCCACAGAAAAATATAGATGCCCCGTTTTCAGTCCAATGTAACCCACATGACCATTCCAAGTATATTGTGTAAATAGTTCCTTGTTTATCCTTAATGTCTCTACTGTTTATAATGATACCAATGGAATAAAGAATACCTGCTTCATAATCTTTGGCCTTGTATATGTGTTTAAATCTCATTACAAATACAATGTGTTCACTCAATAATAATGTTATTTTGGCACAAAAGTGGAGCCACTGACATTGCAACTACAGGTGCTACATGTCTGAATTTTGAAGTCAACATTCTTTAATAAACTCATGGTACTGAGATGCTTTGGATACAAATAAAGAGCACACCCCTGGCGCAGTCTGCCATGGGCATATATGGCATTTATATAGTGAAAGTTCAGCTAAGTGTTTCTTTCTAAGTGTGCATTTTAAAAATAAGTAGGAATGGTCATTACTGGGGAGAATAGAAGAAATTAATTTATTGACCGTTTAAGTGCAAAGTAGATTTGCCAGTAGAGATCATCAGAAAATATGAAAATAGCAGCAATTCAATAAAAAGTCTCATCTTCATGTTTATAAATCACCAATAATGTGCAGAGTCATACAGCATGCAAACAGACCCTTTGTTCCATGCCGACCAAGTTTCCTAAACTAAACTAGTCCCATTTGCCTGTGTTGGGCCCATTTCCCCCTAAACCTCTTCTATTCATTTACCTGTCCAAATGTCTTTTATATGTTGCAAATGTATCTTGACCACTTCCTCAGGCAGTTCATTCCACATTCGAACCATTCTGTATGAAAAAGCTGCCTCTCAGGTCCTTTTTAAATCTTTCTCCTCTCACCTTAAAAGATTTGCCCTCTAGTTTTGAACTTCCGCACCCTAGAGAAAAGACCTTATCTATGCCCCTCATGATTTTATAAGTCTCAATAAGGTCACCCCTTAATCTCCTACGTTCCAGAGAAAGAAGTCCCAGCTATTTCCAGCCTCTTCTTATAACTCAAACCCTCCAGTCACGGTAACATCCTAATAAATCTTTTCTGAACTCTCTCCAATTTGATAATATTCTTCCTACAGCAGGGCACCAGAACTGTACACAGTACTCCAAATGTGACCTCACCAATGTCCTGTACAAATTCAACATGAGATCTCATCTCCTAAACTCAATACAGTGAGCAATGAGGACAATTGTGTTAAATGCCTTCTTAACCATCCTGTCTACCTGCTATGCAACTTTCAATAAACTATGTACCTGAACCCTTAGGTCTCTGTCTGACAATACTACCCAGGGCCCTACCAGAAACTGCATAAGTCCTGCCCTTGCTTGGCTTGTCAAAATGCAACATCATGCATTTATCTAAATTAAACTCCATCTGCCACTCTTTAGCCAACAGGACTAATCACAGAAAGTACGCAACTTTACAAAAAGCATAATTTATTGCCACTCAAAAAACATCAGGAAAAAATATAATGGCAACAACAATGGCAGATTACTTATAGTTTTGTCCTTCTGGTAAGAAAGCTTAAAACAACGAGTCATACAGTATTTGAGAAATCATTGATTTCAATGGACTGACATTGAAAAAATGCGGTAAGAGACATCAGGTTTTCTTTCATGAAAATAGTGTTTCCATTTGATGCACTAATTAATTTTATACGTGACATTGTTGCATTTTAGCTGACATAAAATATTCTTCGTCTAAGTGGTAATAAAATCTAAATTTCTCTAACAATAAGCAGCATATGATCTGCTTCAGATTCTGATAATATTAAATGACAATGCATTTAAGCTATGTACAGTGAAATTTTCATAAAAACAGTACAAGAAATATGACATCAAAATCATAAAGGAATGAAAGAGTATCCATTAGATGATTACTGGACCATTAGCTGATTAGAACCTGCTATCCCATTCAAAGTATTATGCCCTGATTCATTGAAAAAAATTGTGATGTCCTCCAATTCTGAAATTTCTACATCATTATTTCAATTCTTCATTGTTGTAGGTCAACATAATTCTGCAATAGAAAGATTGTTCCAGTGAAGCAGCAGTATTACTTGGCAGGAAAAAATATCAGAGGAACTTCTTTAAAATGGATTTAGGAAGGATATTAAATAATTCCGTTGTTATTACAGATCAGACAATTGAACACAGCACAGAACACCATGTTTGGCTACTTGCTAGGACCTGCAAAACCTAATGCTGGGGAAACAACTGATTCAGGGTATTTAGTGTAAGGTTGGTTTATCTGTAGTTTCTTTTTAATTTATGTTTAAAACTTTCATTAGGCTTCTCTTCCTCATTCTTCTCAGGATGATAAACTATGTAACTGTTTAGGTTGCTTTATTTTACTTTTCCCTGAAAAGACACAGGCTTCTGAAATGTGATTTTTGCTTTTTTTTCTTCCCCCCTTTGATCTCTCTTCTTTAGACCTATCAGATTAAATAAGTACAGCTGAAGTCTAGTCAGGAAGAGGAGTTGTAATGCATCAGGATTTTGAGCTGTAAGTGCTAAGAAGAGATTTTGAATAAATATATATTAGCTTGATGCTAATAAGTTAACTTTGGCTCTCAAGAGCTTAAACATTCAGCTTCCAGGAATGAAAATTAGTATTTGTAAAACATGTCTGCCCAGAATGGAGCTTCAACAGTTTACATAAAGCATTAGCTGCCAAGATTCTCCAATTAGCCACTCTTGGAACATGAAGAGCGGGAATGTGTGTGTGTGTAGGGGATGTGTCAGAAGTCAAGTCTTTGGCCTTCTAACCAGCCAAGACTTAGAGGTTTAGAGAGTGAATTTTTGCAGGGCTTTATCCTACTTGACAACCATCACTTCATTCTGCAATGCTTCCAGATTCTAATACTAGGGCCTGTACTTTACAGAAGGAAACACATTTTTTAAAATCAATCTGTTTCTGATATATCTTTGGAGTGGGTAGGACTTGAATGCAGATCTTCCAGTTCAGAGGTAGGGACTTCACTACTGCACCACAAGAGCCACTGGGGAAGTTCCTGAATAATTATTGAAATTTCTTCTTTCTTATCTCTTCATATAATCAGAACATATACCTGCTTCATGAACCCCCTAGAGTGGAGACCACCCTTTGAGAAAAGAATCAGGAGAGATAGAAAATGCTAAAATCAAAAGTGTTTAGTTTGCTACCTCTTATTTTAGCAGATGAAACAGCTATAAGAATGTACCCTCCTAAATTATTCCATTGTACTATCAAGAAATAACCAAATAGACAAAAATCATGGAATATTTATGAAAAGAGACAAAGCATGAATAGTGCATTTCCAGCACTGCCATCCAACAGCTCAACTTTTTACTTCTCACGAGTATATAAAATTCCCAGCTCTGAGGTAGTCATGCATTTTACCAACATGGCATGAAATACTCTTGTTGAATACACATTTGCGTCACTATACTTTGGTCTCTAATTCATTTATTTCAATCGTACAGTGATCCGTTTTAGTGCTGAGGCCCAACTCTATTTGTACATTATGGGATCCATCTGGGGTAATGGTGTAGATTTGTTTGTCTGACTTGTTAGTGTCATTCGTGCATCCATTTCTCTGATAGGTCATGATCGGATTTATGCTGCTGGGTTTTGTTTCACCAATCAGTGGAACCTAAATAAGATAAAATAGTGAGATGATTAGATAGATCACTCACTGTTGCTGAACAATTTGATAAATTGACACTTACTCACGCAAAGATTAGACAGTTGTCACATACAGTTAAGATGACAAGTTTCAAAATCCAGATTAAGTTCTAATTTTCCTTTCATGGGCAGTTGTCCAGCACAGTGAATTACTATCCACTACAGAACCATATGGTTTACATTCCACTGAAATAATTGGGCAGAAAACAAGACACATCATCCCGTCTTCTGCATGATCATTCATTGATGATGTAAATTCACTCCTGTGTCCCAGATATTGAATCAAAAAGGTTCTATGGAAGATAAGGGTAATGGAGAGCATTTCCTGATGCCAGGACATCATATATAAGAAATCCAAAACAGTGTGAATTCAGTCAGTTACCATATCTGAGGGAAGTATTACTTTGCAGGAACTTGTGATGTTGATTCTACTTTCGTCTTGCAGTCTCCTGCTCCAGGTGTAAAGGTGAAACTGACATGGGAAATTCACCTACTTTTATTTCAGCAATCAGGCATATAATCTGGTTCACTGACTATCATACATCTTCTTACAGATAAAAGAAGGAAAGTGGCATGGATCAACAAACTCCCCATAACAACCATATTGACAGCCTTGTCCATTGTTCTTGACTGTCTGTCCCAACCAGAAGGACAGATTGCAGTGATTCCTCGCACTAGAACACATACTTTTCAAAACTGACAATATGCAGAATGCCCTAATATGACTCTGATCCAACTACAAGTGTGACAGTCTTCTGTGCTAGGGGCTCATCCATTCCCGTTGAGGGCAATAGAATGATATACTGCCATAAATACCTCAGTTCCACACAGTCTACTCACCAGGTGTCCTTTTTTAAAAAAAAATCAGGGCTCTCCTTGAGAATTCTATCATGGTTACCTTTAAAGGGCACATTTTTCATTCTCACTAATTGATTTATTAGGTGGCTGTCATACAATTGCAACACCTTATTATTTAGTGACATATTTGGATTGAAAAGCAGAATTAGAAGAATTCATCAATATCTCCATACAATGCTTTATGAAGGCTTATACTTTGGTGTCAATTCCATTATCCAATGCTTCTAGCATTTCATGGTGGTTGATGCAAATGGCACATTTTAGGAAATCACACACATGTAGTCATTGATTTTACATTCACTAAAATCAATAAATTAAAAATCTCCCTTTATTTCTCACAATATTATTTCTGTGAGAGCTGCTCCCCACTGGGAGCTTGAAATTGTTTCTTATATTTGAAGTGCACACCTGTTACCAATTGAAACACCCACCATTATTGCCTCTCCTTCAACACCCTTTTATCTTTAGCAACCCACTCTCCACTTCCCTCACAACCTGTACATTGCTCCCTTCACATCTCCTTGCCACTCCCCTTAACAAACCCCCAATACTCAAGCACGGATAAAAAGTTAGAGGGTTTAATTTCCATCTAGTGAAATCCCTGGATGACCCCTTGTGGTATTGTCTATTAATTAGGAAGTATAATACTGCATTCACATCACAGATTTATGCAAAATATTGCATCATGGTGAGTTACTATGATTGTAGTGCAAACACAGCACACATACAACTACTACAAATGGGCCACTGTTTGATTAGGAGAAACCTAAGAAAATTCTAAATCCAATTCTAATCTGGCAGGGCAACATCTTAAAACAAGACTGTCCCTTAATTTTGGTTTTTATATGAAGTGTTTAGGATAAGTTTCAGTGCACCTTCTCACTGTATTTAGTGGGATGCTATGGGTAATCAAAGTTAAATGACTTCAATATAATTGCAGAGACAGAAAGCCAAAATCAAAACTGGTGTCCTCTTAAAGTGATATCAGGAGCTGCTGTGCAGGTAGGTAATGATTGAGCATTGCATGATGTCAAGCAATCCCTTTGGGATATAAACAACACATTTGACGGATATGAAATTATAAAATGTGATCTAAATCACTTCACCATTTTCTGAAGACCACTATCAATAATGATCAGAATTCGTTTTCCAGCAAGATTTAATGACTGACAAGTCCAACAACAAACCACAAAGGACATTGTTGAGATTTAGAGTGAGCACTATACTGAGTGGAAGTTTGACCAAGCAGGCCACGGTCGGGACATGTCTGCATGGAGTGCACTGTATAAACAGAAGGCTCGTTGAACCTATTCGTTCCAAGGAAGCAGTCTCAGCAACATATCACTAGGCTGAAGCTGCTGCTACAGGTAGGTTTAACATTCAAGCTGAACACCCGAAAGCTGCTTCCTCAAATAAATTGAGGATGGGAAAATAGCTTCTGGACTTGGTGAAGAATGCAAGAAGATTCCAGGTTTTTTTTTGAGCTGCTCTCTGAGTGAAGATGAGATATTGTTTGAACCATACAGAGCAGTGTGTGATTTCTGGCCACAATAAAGAAAATCCAACCAGCAGGAAAATAGTTAAGTTAACTGTTAGCTATTAAGTGTTTTCAGATTATTGTGGTTATGTACATTAAATTTAGTGATGTGGAGCAATCAGAAAAGACCAGTCTAAAATTTGATCCTCTAAGGACTGTGTTGAACCAATTATGTTTTTTTTTCAAATATCAAAAAGGTATTATAAGGCCAAGGGAACCTATTTAAATTGCTTCCATGGATTCTTATAAGTGCTTTGGCATAATGTTTTGTGTCACCATCACAAAGAAACAGAAAACTGTGGGAGTACATGAAAAATTTTGGATTAAAAGCTACATAAAAGAATTTTAGAGTCTAGCTCTCTGATAAGGTTGTGCACTGTCACCCATCCTATCACGTGGAAAAGACTTGAAATGACTGATTTGAAGTCTCAGCAGGAGCTGGAACATGGTGGTGGTCAACTGGTCACACATTCCACATTCCAACAGACTTTCCTGTAGTATTCAATTCTATAAATGTCAGGTCAGGTGTTTAACAGGTAACATCCTCAAAAGTAATGGCAAGCTGTTTCTCCTTCCTCAACTTAAACATATTTGGAGGAAATATTTTCTTGTGAAGAAGTCACCAGGGCAATATGCACACATCAAAAAAATATCATGGTCACATTATTCTCAGGCAAATACATTGTAAGTTCAGCATGGAAAGATTCAAATACAGCAAGAAACAGTTATCTCTGCAAGAATAAAATAACACTGTCAAAGACTGTATTTTAAAAATTCTATTATTTCCTGGGCATTGCAAAAATTGTTTAATTATTGTAATCATTGTTCAGAATGTTTGCTTTCTCTCCTGAAAGAAGTGCGGGATTGTGGGTATTAGCATTCAGCTTCTGGCACCTTGCCAAAAAATGCTATTCTTGAAGGCAAACGTTGGAGAATGTGTAATGAGTATATAGAGATGTCTTAATTGAAACTAATCCTGTCTTCACCCGACATTCACACTCTCTTCAAGATATGTCCTGGTTATTTTGACTGTGATAAATTAATTTAGATCAAAGGTTAAACCTGGCATTTATTTCTGCAGAAAGACTTATTGACATAGCAGATAATCAACAGGTACGGCCACTGTGCTATTGGTGGAACATACAAGTTATTTTCCATGTCTAATTATCAGATGTCCAGACTTTAAAAGAGTTAATAAGCCACAAGGCACATCTGTTGAGTAAAACAAAGTTTGAAAACAGAACAAAATAATTTTCCTACTTCATCATTTTCCTGAGTGAAATTCTTTCGGCAGATATGAGCCATGATTCCAGCTGCCAAAGCATCTCCCAGGACATTAATCATGGTGCGAAATCTATCCCTTTAAAAAAAAGTCACTAAATGTTAGCAGTCTGTTAAAATACCAGCCAGCAAGGTAAAAACAGCTTCTTGTAAGGTTTATTAAAACAAAAAAGAAAAATCTTTGCTTTACAACTTACAGCGCCCAGTCGACTGCAATTATTAGAGTGATGTCATCTGTAGGAAGACCAACAGATGTCAAGACAATAACCATGGTGACCAGGCCAGCTTGTGGAATCCCTGCTGCACCTATACTGGCAGCTGTGGCTGTTATGCTGCAAAAGAAAAGATATTATTGCAATGTAGAAATCCAACCTTATAATGAACATTTTGCTGCTTTGGCATCTGACTCTCCTCTTGTGATTGAGAGCGGGCACTCTATCCACATCTCCTGCAATCCTGTAGAAAAGCCCCAGAGCAAATGAAAGTGGTATAAAAAATAATGCCACTTCCAATTTTTACTTCATTTTTTTGTGCACCTGAGTTTGCATAAAGGCTTATACACGGTTGTGTTGTATAGTTAAGTCAGACAGTGTGATACGCTATTGAGGTATGGCATATATTATCACAAGAAGTGATCAATGCTGTATGAACTTGCTCTGTCTTGTAGCTTTGTGGCAAGCTGAAGTCACAGCAAGATTTATCTTAAATAAGTTCTTTTTAGATTAGCAGACTTTAAACATTCTTTAGCAGCACAAGACTGAGACCATAATAAGTTGAAGCCATTAACAGGTTGCTGCTATATAATTCTAATTGGAGCTGGAAGCATCCAAAACCTTGTCTGTATCAGCAGGCTAATTGACCACAAGGGCACCGCTGTCAAGTTCATGAAATAGCCCCACAGAGGCCAATGTTTCATCATCAAGTCACCCTTTATTTACTCAGGGAGAGTCCTTGACACTGATCCAGCTCCCACAGGGCCAGCTCTCAGAGCAAACAAGAACATCTGACACTCCTGCTCTTACCCGTCAGCCATGGCTCCCTGATTGGGCCAGATTAATGACCCAATCAGGGAACTCATTCAATTACAATCATTATAATCACTACAGCTCACTATTTACATAATTGTGTTATCTATCCAAAACATGTTTACTGATTTGATTTTGGGAACACATCCATATTGAAGCATTCAGATAAGCACAAAAACTGCATGTTCTGCTCAGCTTCACATTAGATTATTGTATTGCATACAACAATGTCTAGGTTTTAGTGAAAGAGAATGGTTGGTATTAGAGAAATAACTAATGTGCCCAGCTTGGTACAAGGAAGACACATTACAGAAATCAAACTCAATACTTAATACATTGTGACAGCACATGACTATAAAGAGGAATGAGATATTTAGTAATGAGATGCCAAATCTAAATGGAACTTTTCACAAAGCATTGTGGTTCCACAACTCAGGGACTTTACAGTTATTGATCATGAATTTTATTGTAAGTAGGCTATAATGACCTAACAAATTAGCATCTGATGTAAATTTAAATGTTGCCTTCCTCATTGCATCTGAGAAACTGACTTAAACAGGTCATGGTTATTCAAGTTTAATCCTGCTCAAGTAACTCATCTTAGCAAGGCAGTAGCTGCTCAGCCATTTTTGAGGATGAGGTGAAAATTGCCATTTGTGTGTAATTTCAATGAGCACAGTAGCCTGTGCATTATGGAATGTAACAAGCTGTGTATTATGGTACTGGTTTTGAAACCTAGAGTGTGTGCTGGCTGTTGTACGAGTGACTAGAATCGGTACGGGGGACATGGTTGAGGGGCAGCAATTATTTTAGTACTAAGGAGTTCATGGACACACCTTATCTCCCAGGCTTCATTTTACACTAGAGGTCTTAGTCCCATCTGAAGCCAGCAGGAATTACTCCTAGCTGGTGGGAGAAGGTGAGGATTTGGATAGCAGGAGATTGCTACTGGAGATCCAAGAGAATTGTCCATGGTGCTGCAGTAAATGGCTGACAGGAGTGAAGAGATAACTGTAGTCTGGATGGGATAAGAAGTGGGAAGCAAGGAGAAGCAGGGCCTGAAGGCTCCGAGGGAAACATCTATTCCCATTGACCTACAAGGAACCACATCACCACCACTAATCTTTCAAACTGCTTAATTTTCTGGGCCTCTTGTATCCTTTTCCTGACAGATTTGGTCTGGCAAAGATATCACAAGGGATATGGCTCCCCCATACAGGCCCCTGGGTAAGATTGCAGCATGACACCATCTGCATATTCATTCAAGGATTTTGTCAGCCTCTGGTGGAAGTCCTGAACATCTGAAAATTAAAACTGCAGTTGACCAAATCAGGAGGTGAATCCAATTTCAATTTAACTGTCTCCGTGTCCATTTACTGACAAATGGAAGGCACAAATTCCATGGAGATTTTAATTTTACTTTGGAAATGGTGAAACTGATCCAATATATGTTGTAATTCATGGGCTCAAAACCAAAATATAAATTATTTGATTTTTGTAAATCTAGCTAGTAACTAATATTAAAAATGAAATCTGCCATCCCTTGCTGGTATGGCCTAGGTGGTGTGGCCTACTTAGGACTCCAGTCCCAAATTAACAGGCCTATTGTATTGTTTTCTGGAGTGGATCAGAAGTCCATTCAATTATAAGACATCCGACACTGAACAGAAATATTGGATACATCCATTGGCAATGATCTAAACATTGCATCAGAAAAAGACTCAAGCAATCCTATTCTATTTAGCCCTGAAAAATTCCACCTTATAAAAAGCAGCATAATAACAGAGTATTCCAGGGATGGTGGGTCTGACATATCAGGAGACATTGACTAGGTTGGGATTGTTCTCGCTAGAGTTCAGACAAATGAGGGGGCAATCTCATAGAGCCTTATAAGATTCTAACAGGACTGAACAGGGTAGATGCAGGGAGCATGTTCCCAATGGTGGGTGTGTCCAGAACCAGGAGTCACAGTATGAGGATTTGGGGTAGATAATTTAGGACGGAGATGGAGAGACATTTCTTCATCCAATGAGTAGTGAGTCTGTGGAATTCATTGCCACAGGAAGTAGTTGATGCCAAAACATTGAACGTATTCAATGGGATCAAAGGTTATGGGGAGAAAGCAGGATTAGGCCTTTGAGTTGGATGATCAGCCATGATCGTGAAGCATGGCGGAGCAGGCCCAAAGGGCCAAGTGGCCTCCTCCTGCTCCTAAGTACTTGGCCCTATGGCCCTCAATATTGATGCTGAACCTCAATCATTCTCTGGCCTCAGGTGAAGCATACTGCAAATAAAAACGGACAGTACATATTTCTGTGTTAGATGAAGACATGTTTAGGACTGTCTATGACTTAATAACAGCAGGCAGCACTCAAAATTAATGGCAAACTGGATAATGTATTGAAAGGCAAGTGGTTCCCATTGACACAAACCCAAGAAGCAATTGATGAGAGTTCTTGTGTATGTTGGCTCCTGTCAGAGCTCCCTGGGATGAGTTGGATGGATTTGCTCTGGCCATTCCTGCTCGCTGGTGTGAATCGAATTTACTGACACTGTAGGGAGAGATGTCCTTGTGACGTGTGAGGCAGAAGATAGGCTTAATCTTGATAAACAGTAAATATGTTTATTGCATATTACTAAACAGCTTGTTACATTCCATCTGTGATATCAGGCTCAAATTTAAAGTAATTGCTCATGTCACTGCTACCAAAACATTTTCATAAGTCCTTGGTAACAAGCACAGGACTGATACAACACAACAAGAAAGTAAAACTGGATAGCTCCTCTTAGGAAGAGTCCTTTATAAATATTTTCTCATCAATTTGTTCAGACATGCTATGATACACCTCTGAAGCAGGTGGGACTTGAATTAATGCCTCCTGGTTCAGAGGAAGGAATGCTATCACTGCACCACAAGAATTCTATCTCATAATATCAGTTAACCCCTGCTGGTACTAACTGCCTTTTACAACAGGAAGCTACCAAACTTCAATTGGCTCAAATAAATGAGAACTCCATTTACCTTACAGTAATAATTTGTCCAAAGTCCAGCTCATAGTTGTTAACCTGTGCTATGAATATTGCTGCCACAGCTTCATACAAGGCAGTGCCATCCATGTTGATTGTAGCTCCCACAGGCAAAACAAATCTTGCAATTCTTCTGTCGATATGATTATTTTCCAACAGGCACTTGAAGGTGATTGGCAAAGTGGCAGAACTGCAAATAATCAGTGGCAACCATAGTTAGACTATAGTGCAAGCTTCAAATAGTGAACACATCCATGCAGATCCAATGAATTGAATTTTCATCCTGAGACAGAAGCAGGATTTTGAGGTGGCTCTATCGGAACTGTATAATACCAGCTTCCTGACATGTCTCCTGCTTTCCAGTAAATTTAGTGGAGAAGCCTTCTTGGAAGTTGCATCAACTCAATAGAAAGCTGTAGCCAATCAACTGAGGCAGTTAACATGCCACTGGATAAGGGTTCTTGTGGCACAGTGGTAGAGACCTTACCTCTGAGCCAGGAGACCTGGGTTTAAGTCCCACCTATTCCAGGGGAGTGTCACAACATCTCTGAACAAGTTAATTAGAAAACATTTTAAAAAGCCAAATGATAGCTAGTTCCATGGTTGATTTACGTTTTTGACACAATGCACAGGAATTGGGCTGGGTCATCAGCATGTCTAATGAGAGGAGACAGCTATACAATGGAGAGCCAGAGAATTCTGACACTGTGTAAATGGTGCTCATGCATTGCATGCGGCCTGTTTCATGTGGGGTTAATGGGGCAGAGCAGAGGGCAGGGTGATCCAGGCTACTATTCCCACGCTTTTCTGATGAAGGGTCTAGGCCCGAAACGTCAGCCTTTCTGCTCCTATGATGCTGCTTGGCCTGCTGTGTTCATCCAGCCCTGCACCTTGTTGTCTCTACTATTCCCATGCAGCGGTGGCAAAATGAAACCAACCTTGGCATTTTCAGACTCTGTCATCCTCTTTCCCTACCCTCAATGGCAGTCGAAAAAATTTACTCGCTTATTTCCATAATCAAGAATTTACCCTTACTGCCCAATATACCAATCATTGCATTGTGTGAATTGGATGCCAAGGAAACTCACCAGTACGGTGGCTCAGTGGTTAGCACTGCTGCCTCATAGCACCAGGGACCCGCGTTCAATTCCACCCTCAGGCGACTGTCTGCGTGGAGTTTGCACATTCTCCCCGTGTCTGCGTGGGTTTCCTCAGGGTGCTCTGGTTTCCTCCCACAGTCCAAAGATGTGCAGGGTAGGTGAATTGGCCATGCTAAATTGCCCATAGTGTTCAGGGATATGTAGATTACGGGGGGATGGATCTGGGTGAGATTCTCTGAGGTTCAGTATGGACTTGTTGGGCTGAAGGACCTGTTTCCACACTGTAGGGATTCTATGATCTATTACGTGCACTAGTTACTGGAATCTTAACTATGCCATCACTTGTATTTTTCTTTATACATGGTGCCTACTCTATGATGATATGCAACTCATATTCATTATCGAGGGAACATATCAGAGCCCTACTCAGTGATGATTGCAGTCAAACAACGCCTTGTCATCATACCAGTCCTTGTTTCCAATCTTCTTTACTGCAAAACTGTGCTTCACCTTCAACAAATTACCCACAGGCACGGAGAAATGGAACAGACAGGAGATTGTTCAACACGCACTACCTTGAATCCAAACCAGAATCACTCCAACTGCAGTCAGCGAGCTGAATTTGCAGATGACACTTATATGTGTGCTCTCACTGAGATCCAAGACATTGTTGACCCCTTTTTCTGAAGCATATGAGAAAATGACACACCAAACACCTGGAAAACTGAGGTCTTCTTCCATCCAGATTTTACATTACAACACGTACCATCAATGATTAAGATCAACCAGGCACTGGAAAATGTCAACCATTTCCCATGTCTTAGGAGCACCTTCTCAACAGAGGCAAACATAGATGATGAAATTTGTCATCATGTTCAGTGTGATAGCTCAGCTTATAGTTGACAAAAGGCAAGACTACCTGAGGACCAGGATCTCAAACCCAAGGCTAAGATCATAATTTATTTGACAGCAGTAATATCCATGTTCCTGTATGACTTGGAGACTTCAGCAATCTACCACCACCATCTCAAAGCATTGGAGAAGAGCCACCAGCAATATCTTTGCAAGATCCTCTAAATTAAGAGTCAAGAATAGCAGTTCAACAACACCATTTTCTCCCAAGCCAAAGCCCAGAATCAAAACACAAATTACTCAAAACCAGCCCTGGTGGGTAAAACGAGGTATTAGTAAGCCTGACAAAGTGTCACTGGAGTCTAAACATTATTCTGTTTTCTCACCAGACCTGCTGAGTTTCTCTAGAAATTTTGTTATTTTGTCTCAATGTAACTGCTGTGCTCAGAACTTGTCTGCAACAGAAGATTTCCAAGATGACAATAGAAGTACTTCAAGGATGTCCTCAAAATATCACTGCAGAGGTTAAACATCACTGCCACTTCTCAGGAGCCGATGGCTTGTGACCAACCGAAATGGAAAAGATTTGTTTAGAAAGACATAGAAGACATCAAGATACTTAGTCAGGAATGTGCAATGGCAAAATTCAACCATCAGAGAGCACGCACAAGTCTCCAAAGAACTCAAATACAAGACTATCCAAGCACCAGCTTCCCCTCATATTCCCCTCTGCAGATGATGAATTGGACATTGGTCATGTTAGAACCCATTGAACCAAAGTGAAAGCAAGATGCTGAGGGGCTGCCGAAGAAGGATGATGGTGTTTTACTGAATGCACTATTGAAATGAGGTATCAAATAATTTAAAAGACCAACTTAATTCTTCATTTGATGATAACATTTAAACCTTGCAAATCATAGACATACCTTGATGAAGTAGCCAAAGCTATGAGTAAGGCTTGAAGGATTCCTCTTATATAAACAATTGGATTTTTCTTGGTGATAAAGAGGTACACCATGGGTAGAACAAATAGCCCATGGACCACTAGACCACAAACCACTGTGATAGCGTAAAAGCCCAGTTTTTTTCCGATTGCTGTAGGATCGTCCATCTCCAGGATTTTGCCAGCAATAAGGAATACTATGCCTAAAGGGAAATAACTAATATAAAGAACATATTATGTTAAACTTAACCAATTAAACAAAACAGAAAAGAAGAAACAATAGCGAAATGTAAAAGTCCACACTGACCCCCACACCCTATCCAATGCAAGAAACCCCATTGAACTGCAACTATTTAGATTTCAAGAAGTGTCTTACAGAATTACAAAGAATTCTAGTTGGGAGAAAAGGGAATTGAATAAATACCTGAAGTGAAAAAATTCGCAAGGCTTGAGAAAGGGTGGGAAGTGAATTTGTTAAATTGCTCTTGCAAAATGCCAGCGCAGACATGATTATCTAAACAGCCTCTTTCTCTACTGTAAGCATTTTATGATTCTAAACATTATTTTATCAATTCTGCTGCTTATAATTCATTGCTGGGAAAGCTGGAGGCAACAATGACTCAAAACAGTCATCACTTTGAAATAAGTCCACAGAGGTCATTATCCCATCACCAAGTCACCTTTCATTTACATGTGGAGATCCTTGACACTGATCCAGCTCCCTTTGAGCCAGCTGTCACAATGAGCAGGATGCCTGACACTCCTTTTCTGTCAGCCAGGGCTCCCTAATTGGACCAGATTAACAGCCCCTTCTATGAGGTCCACCTGGCTGACCTTGTTACAATCACTTTTTCATGTTTTGGGATTTCAATTGATCACTTCTTTGAAAAATATAATTCAATTATGTAGATGTTAAAAAGTATTTTCAGAGATTTTAGTTGCAGTGCTCTAGCACATTGAAATGGAACAGCCCATCAACCTACAGATAACAATGATACAGAGGACTATCCAAAGTATTTATTCAATAGTTATAATACTCTTCATAAAGGTGATCAGATTTTGCAATAGATTATAGGTAGGGAAAACACAATTGTATTGAGTAAAACATGAGCCTAAATAGCAACTAAGTTGTAATCCATACTGAAATGTCACCAAAAATAATACCTGAATTATAAGTAAGCACCTTAAATCATCAGATGATACCTTGTGGACCCTTATATCAGTGAATACTGAAAGTCTTGCAACAACTCTCACATATGCCTTGCCTTTAATTTAGTAGGGCATCTTAAGAACTTCATAGGGTGTTAGCAGACAAATTTGACACCAAGACAGATTAAGAGCAATATATGAGCAAAAACTAAGTCAACGAAGATAGGTTGAAAGCATATTTAAATTTTGGAAGATTTGGAGTTTATACTAGGACAGACGACCAATATAACAGCACAGTCTAGTGTTAACAAAGGCGGCATATGGGCTGAAGCAAAATAATTGATGGATAATTTTTGCAGACTGATGTTTGAACAAAATTGATAAATATTTTCTTGAATTTCCTTGCAGCCTAGTGGAGTGTGATAGACCCTTATTTAATATAAGGGAGATAGCAATGTTTATTGTTGCTCTCTGGAGAGATCAATCAATAGAAGATTTATAAAATGCTTAGCATTTACAAACAACATTCCCATGTGATACTATCATTGAACAGATAGTGAAACTGTTACCATTCATTCAAATTCAGTTCTGCAAGGAAAGTACCAGACCCATACTCACCATGTGGCAACAGCAACAATCTTCATCACAGATTCATTTAAACATTGACAGAAGCTGACCAGTGGCATTCCATTCTTTCCCATTCTCCCCAGCATAATACCTTGGCGAAGAGAATATAACTCGTTACATCTCAAGTCATTAACTTTGTCTGGATGTCACAGAGTTGCATTCATATCCAGCCCTGAAACATGGCATAACACAGTGTGGAGCTCCTTCAACTCCATACTGTGTTATCATAGTTCATTGGAAGTTGTGTCACAGGCAGAATGGTAAAGAAGGTATTTGGCAAGCTTGCATTCATTGATCACACCAGTGAGTTTAGGAGTTGGGACTCATGTTGAAGTTGTAAGGACATTGGTGAGGCCACTTTTGGAGTGCTGTGTACAGCTCTGATTGCCTTACGATAGGGAGGACATTATTAAATTGGAGAAAGTGCAAAAAAGATTTATAAGGACGTTTCCAGGGCTGGAAGGTTTGAGTTATAAGGAGTTGCTGGATAAGATTAGACTTTTTCAACTGGAGCGTAGGAGGTTCAGGAATGACCTTACAGAGGTTTCTAAAATTATGAGGGGCATAGATAAGGTGAATAACAAAGATCTTTTCCCTAGGGTTGGGGATTTCAAAACAAGAGGGCATTATTTTAAGGTGAGAGGAGAAAGATTTAAAAGAGGCCTGAGGGGCAAATTTTTCACACAGAATGTGGTTCGGATGTGGAATGAACATCCAAAGGAAGTGGTAGATGCAGATGTAGTTACATTTAAAATACATCTGGACAGCTACACGATTAGCAAATCTTGAGAGGGATACGATTTATTGATGTCACATGTACGTAAGGTACAATCCATCTCTGTCCTTTGTAGCAATAGCTTTTATACACCTTCCCACAGCACTTAATTTCCCTCCCATTGTCTCACAAGGAAGTTGTCTTTGTATAATGACTTACCAAGTAAAGGTGTGAAAACTATGACTTGATTTTGATAGGTTTCTGTACGACCTCCTCCTCCCATGACCCACCATGATAACCAAAACCACATACAGTTTTGTTTGTGAGTAGTACAGGCAGACCATAGCAAACAAGGACATACAAATCATAGGGTGCTTAGACAGAGCGAGGCATACAACATAACAGCTGCACAGGAAGTGCACAAAGCAAGTTCAACTTTAGATTTGAAATTAGAGAGGTCCATTCATCAGTCTAATATACATACCTAATGATGCTGTAAGAAGGTTGAAATGGATAAGTTGACATTCTAAATTAGACGTTATACTTTGCTGAAGAAATGATAAATAGGCATAGGAAATCCCAAGTGAAAAAAAACTTCATTAAATATCTATATATTGATACTTGTTGCATAGTTTAACAGAAGATGCTCTGTTTAAAAAATACTCACCCATTGTTGCAGAAAATATAACGATGCCAAGAACATTCATCCCCTCACTTGATCCTGGCCCTGATTTGTAGATAATTTCTGGAGGTGGGGTGATATCCAAAGAAATGTTCTGAACTATTTCAGAGTCATTGTCACCTTGAATTCCATAGATTAAAGGCATTCGTGTGGCAGCTTCAGATCCCACTACTTTGACAGAAACAACAATTGGAACAATCTTGGTTCGATACTGTGAAACCAGAAGATGATATATTTTAGAATTCTCAGTAAGAACAAATGGCACTTTTAAATATAAAGTACAGCTAAATAACATCTATCTTCGTATCTACACAACTGAGTCTGAACAAAAGTTGAAAATGAAATTCATTTATATGAGCTCAATTTATGAATTTCTTTCATTCTTAAAGTCTTACTTTGTGTTTGGTATAATATCAACAGCATGACAGATGGCTGGAACTTCACTTAAGTGCTATGGATGCACTTTGCTATTTCTACACAAGACAATGTCAACTCTTTAAGGTGACATATCACTTTAGTAATGTTCTTTATGGGGTTCATAAGATGGTAATCTTTGAAAATGTTTCCCATAAAGGGAGAATTCTGAAAGCAGAGCTCAGTGAAATGCCAATGTGGTCTTGGTTATCATGGTGGGTTATGGGGGGAGGAACTCAAACAGAAACCTATCAAAATCAAGTGATAGCTTTCACACCTCTACACAGTAACTCATCATAAAGAGACAACTTCCTTATGAGACACCGAGAGCAAAACTAACTGCTGCGGGAAGGGGTAAAAAAGCTATTGCTACAAAGAAGACAGAGAAGGATTGTAACAAATATTTGGAGTAAGAACATAGAAGCAGAGCAAGTCATTTGATCCATTGAGCTTGTTTCACCATTAAAACAGATCATGGTTGATCGTTTACTTCCATGTCATTGCAACACCAGCCCCATTTCCCTTATTGTCATTAGTAACCAGAAATCTCAAACGTGCTCAATGATTGAGCTTCCACAGCACTCTGAGGTAGAGAATTCCAAGGCTTCACCATGCTCTGTAAGAAGAAATTTCCCTTCATCTCAACCTTAAATGGCCTGCCCCTTATTCTGTGACTGGTTTTATGCGAGTTGATTTTCTGTTTAAAGAAGGCGAACAAAACAAAGGGGAATATTTGAAGATTTAAGGCGATATCGTGTAGGATGTGAAAATTAATTTTCTGCAAATATAAATTCAATTGTCTTTCAAAAATTTTAATGGGATCTGATTCTGTATGTTACAACAGTCCTCTGAATGAAAAGATATTCATATTTCCTCCAATTCCTCAGGTTCAAAATAATGGACCATCACTTCTGGTTTCTGACCCACTTAGGAAATGAAATGGTGGAATTGCTCCTCCCTGGAGTGATGTAAGCAATGGGCAAGGAAAATGGGAAAATACTGTGAGAAAGCAAAAATTAGCTTCTTTACATTGAGAACATTTTTTCTAATGTGCTCCTCAAACCCATAAATAGCGACTTCAGAATATCACCATTGAGCAGCAACTACCTCATTTCCATTGCATTGATATCTTATTAAAGCCCCAACATTATTTATATACCATTTCCAATGCTCCTTTTCTTCTCTAAAAAACTAGACAGCACAAATTCTAAACACATACATCAGAGTGGGTAACTCACAGCCACAGTTCGCTGACTTTTTGTACAGGCCATCATCCAACTGCTGCATCATGAGAACATCCCTGTATTATCCATAGTCACTATTCTTCTTGACCTTTCATCCACACAAGTTAGCATCAGCAAACTACCAGCTTCACCACGTTATCGTGCTTGCTCTCAGACCAATGCATACACCACTTCTGCCCTTTAACATTTTTATTGGAGCTCAGACACACCTCGCACTTGCATGATTGTGTCAGGATGTTTTGCGCGCACATATATCATGCTTGTTCACAAGTTGCATCTTATGGCTGTAAGTTTACTTTTTAGTGCTCGCTCGCTTTGCACTTACTTGGAGGCTTCCAGCCTCTATACATTGACATAGCTTTCTTAGTGAGTTTTCACTGACTTCAGCACTGACCTATGGACAACCATATCTGTGTGACTTGCAGTGCTTTGTTCGCACATGGTTCTTTAATGTTCCATTTCAGGCTGCTTGCCTCCGTGTCATGCTTTGCTTTTTACTGCAAAAGGAGAGGCAGGTAGTTTGATACATTTGGAAACACTGTACAGTCAAAAGGGTGAACAGGTCACTGTCTGGCACCTTGCTGTGCCAATATTACACCTACAGCATGTGCCAGCATGTTGCAAACATACCGCAAATAGCCATGTGAGAAAATTAAATGGGAATGATCCTCAGTGGGTGAGGGGACTCTACAGTCAGTCAAGGTATATTGCCACAGTCAGTCAAAGGGCTCATCTAGTTTCACTCCAGGGGTTTGGCCACGGTCATGCCTAGAGATTAAGTGCCATTAGTCCAGAGATTACAAATAGGTCAGTCAGATTGCTGTGGCAATGTCATTCCAGACAGGTGGTGGACCTGTTTTACCTGCAATAAGACAAAGAGAAGGATTGCATATAATTAAGTAGATGTAAGAGCAGTTAGCAATCATGCGTGAACAGGATTAGATGGTGAGGTGCCCCCAGGTGATTGAAAGGGAAGCGCAGAGGGTACACATAATTTGGGACGATAAAGTGGGTGATAGCCTTTGAATAAGCACGATGTATACAGTAGTGAGAGTTGTAGCTCATGGGCCTTGGTGTGATGTATGTGCAATGTGGCAGATGCAGAGTGAATGGTGGCCTTGTGAATATGAGGGAACAGACAGAAGTTAGTGACCCTTACCCTTGTGGAGCAAACAAGACCATTGACCTTCTTCCTGCACTGCTGGATATTGTCCTTTAAATGGGATGGTGGTGTGGATTTCTTTGATGGTCAACTAGAAAAAGGATTGTCTCTTCTCCACAAACCCATCCACCAATGCTCACAGGTCCCTTTGTGGGGTAAGGAAAGATTTCCTTTCCTCCGGGCCATGTCCTGAATGGTGAGGCTTGAGCACCACATTATGAGGGCCAGTTCCTGGCTTGCAGCTCCTGAAGTTGTTTGCAGTTGGGCTTTAACCATTGGGCCAGAGGCACGGAAGCCAAAGGTTCTCAGTAGTGGTCAGCACTTCCATCTCTCTGGCCTCACCATTACCCTCGAAAGACACCCAAGAGCCCAGTTGCTCAAATAAATAAGGTGAAGAGCATAAGATTGTGTGACAAAACTCAGTCTGAGCCACAGCAGACCAGATGCCATGACTTTCACAGAACAAAACTCTAACTAAAAATTGGAAAATTCCATCCAATTTCTTTCTTCTTTCATAATCAAAATCCCTTAGCATTTTGAATGTTTTATTGAAGTTTTCTGTTAACTTCTCTGCTTTCAAGAGAACAATCTTGGGTTTTCCAATCTCTAACTGAAGTTCCTCAATTCAGATGTCAAGATGGTAAAGTTATTCTGAACTCTTTCCAGGGCCTTGACATGGTAAAATAGGGCAAAGTCAGCACGGCTTCATTAAGGGGAGGTCATGCCTGACAAATCAGTTAGAATTCTTTGAGGAACTAATGAGTAGGTTAGACCAAGGAGAGCCAATGGATGTTATCTACCTGGACTTCAAGAAGGCCTTTATCAAGGTGCCGCACAGGAGGCTGCTGAGTAAGATAAGGGCCCATGGTGTTAGAGCAAGGTGCTAGCATGGATAGAAGATTGGCTGTCTGGCAGAAAGCAGAGAGTGGGGGTAAAATGGTCTGTCTCAGGTGGCAGCTGGTATCTAGTGGTGTTCCACAAGGATCAGTGTTGGGACCACAACTTTTCATTTTATACATTAATGATCTAGATGAAGGAACTGAGGGCATTCTGGCTAAGTTGGCAGACGATACAAAGATAGGTGGAGGGGCAGGTATTATTGAGGATGTGGGGAAGCTGCAGAAGGATTTGGACAGGTTAGAAGAATGGGCAAAGAAGTGACAGATGGAGTACAGCGTGGGAAAGTGTGAGGTCATGCACTTTGGTAAGAAGAATAGAGGTATGGACTATCTTCTAAATGGGGAGAAAATTCAGAAGTCTGAAGTGCAAAGAGACTTGGGAGTTTTAGTCTAGGATTCTCTAAAAGTAAACTTGCAGGTTGAGTCAGTAGTCTGGAAGGCAAATGTAACTTTGGCATTTATTTTGAGAGGACTTGAATATAAAAGCAGGGATGCACTTCTGAGGCTCTATAAGGCTCTGGTCAGGCCACATTTGGAGTATTGTGCACAGTTTTGGGCCCCACATCTCAGGAAAGATGTACTGGTCCTGGAGCGGGTTCAGAGGAGGTTCACGAGAATGGTCCCAGGAATGAAAAGCTTAACACATGAGGAACGTTTGAGGACTCTGGTTCTATATTCAATGGAGCTTAGAAGGATGACGGGGGATCTAATTGAAACTTACAGAATACTGAATGGCCTGGTGAGAGTGGATGTTGGCAAGATGCTTCCTTTGGTAGGAGAGAAATAGGACCCGAGGGCATAAACTTAGAGTAAAGGGAAGACCTTTTAGAATGGAGATAAGGAGAAACTTCTTTAGCCAGAGCATAGTGAATCTATGGAATTCACTGCCACAGAGAGCCGTGGAGTCCAGGTCATTAAGTATGTTTAAGACAGAAATAGATAGGTACTTGATTGTCAAGAGATCAAGAGTTATGGGGAGAAAGTGGGAGAATGAGGTTGAGAAACTTATCAGCCAGATTGAATGGCAGAGCAGACTTGATGGGCTGAATGGCTTAACTTCTGCTCCTACGTCTAATGGTCCTATGGTCTTATGGACATGCTTCCTAACATGTGTTGACAAGAACTGTTTGCAATGCTCCAGTGGAGGTCCAATCAGATATTTGCAATGGCATAGTGGGACTGCTTTGTTTTTATATTTGTTTTCCTTACATACACCTAGCGGGACTCTTGGACTCCTGTAAAAATTAACCTTTAGATCACATTGCCTCTTCATGTTGCTTTTCCCATAGTGCATCACTCCACATTGGACTGCATTCAATTACGTTTGGTACATCTTCCCATTTTACCAATCTGCATCCTCTTACACACCTTTTTCTATCTTTACTGTTATTTCACATTATTTCTCGTCTAACTTATTCTTTGCCAATTTCCCAATCTCCACAATCTTCCTTTCCTTCTGCAATTTATGGGATTTCAAAACCTCGGCTTGTTATCATCTAATATACCATAATTTATCTTGCCTTCTTTCCTACTTCTTTCATCTTTGGTGGTATTCTGCATTATGAACCTAAGTATTTCACCTGGATTTTATAAAAGAAGGAAAATGTTAAAAAGCACTTTGGATTATAGAGGTTTCACAAGAGCAATTATGAATGGTCAATAAATGCTGGTCTTGCCAGGGATGCTCATGTCCTATGAACAGATATAAAAGTAAAATATCAATTCACCTGCTGAAATGTAGCTTGAACTAGATTAGATGGGAACATGTTCCTTTAAGAGGGAAGAAAGAAAACAGAAAAATAAGTTTCTCAGCATTATTATAGTAATCAATAGCAAAATACATTTGATTTGTAATTTAAATAAAAAAAGGACAACAATGAATCATAATGAGAAATGGAAGAATCAATAGATTAAATTAGTTCTCTAAACTTAGACACTGTAAGATTAATGACTTATTGACAAGCAGCCAATATCTAACTTCTTCCGACCCCCCCTTTTGATAGTGTAATATGGAAAACTAAGAAATAGGCATAATAAAATATACCATGGTAGTAAGATTTTGTGAGATTGTTAAAGTTTTAAAAAGATACTGCAGCTATAAGCTGAGAAAAACTTGAATGCTATTTAGAGGTACAGCTTTTGCACAACATTAATTTTTGGAATTAGGGGAGGGATTGGTTAAGAAACAGATCAGGATTATTTCTTGAAAGTACAAATACAAGAAAAGGAAACTTTTATTTTTCCAGATGTGAGAGTTAACTTTATGATCACCATCGTTTTTCCTGTTACTGTGCAGTTGCAAAGGCAATTCATTCTGAATGCACCCTGAATAATAAATACCAAATATATTATAACAACTAAGGAAAACCCTGTTAATGAGGTCATAGAGGAGGATCGCTATCTATTTCATCATGTTTGGGCTCCTTCTCACCTTTATATCAGGACCGATTGCATAGACAAATCAGGAAAACAAAATATTTAAAGGTCAGAACAGAGGAGAATAGACATTTTGCAAGATTCTGGTTGGCCATCCGTTAAATAATATCACATCTCTCAGCTTGACCTGAAATAGCATTGAAATCCTTTTCATTTTGTAACTGGCTTAGTTATTTAACAGCATGAGCTCATAGTCCAAACAAAAGTTTAAATAAATTCATCTGTATGGTCTGCACAAACAAATTTACCGTGAATGAGCAACAGATGTGAATTTTTGAATATAATTGGGTTGTTAAATACTTTTTAAATAACTGCGTGGGAGAAAGAAATGTCAGAAAACCAATGGGGAACAGTTATGAAAATGTACCTATCTGATTGATTAACCGACTATCTAAATATTACCTTCCTTCAGCTGGGAATGGTTATCATGCCTCTGTTCAGAGATAGTGTTCTTTTTTCATTCAAATACCATTTTCTATGTTAATTGTTACAGAGTCATTAAGAGTAAATTCGTGTTTGTTCTATGAACTAGTTGCTAGTTTTCTTTTACTGATTTAAATGATGGTGGTCAAGCTTAGGAGTTAATGCTATCTAATTTCAGTGAGGACGTCAGAAGACAGATTGAGCAGGATCAGACACTCTCAGCTTGCACTAAAGATGTATTTCATAATATGACCTTAAAATAGTACACAAAAATTGTTATCAAACAAGATATTCCATATCCTCTCCTGAATGAGACTTTCAGTTTTGGCTGCATCTTGAGTCACTTTGGACAGATGACCATTAAGAGCCAGACTAAGACTGCCACACCGATTTTGCAAAGAACTGTTATATCCATTTGAGCAAACATCCATTCCCTCAGTTCAGATCAGATTTGAAAGTTGAACACAATGGTAAAAGAGTAGATGTTAGCTGATTGCAACAGCCAGTCTCCTAAAACTATTTTTTTTATTATCGGTTCAGGGGACATAAACATTGCTGGCAATGTCATGATTTATTGCCCATCCCTAACCACCCTTGAGAAAGTGGTGACAAATCACCTTATCAACAATCGAGGGGATTATGAGGGCAATTCAGAAGACTGTCTCGTAAGATCAGATTTCTTTCCCTAAAAGCTAGGTTTTTCTGACAAAACAGCAGTTGCATGCTCATCAACACTGATTTCTTATCATTCAAGATTTACTTAATTAACTGAATTTAACTTCCAAACAGATATTGGTTTGAACTTGCGTCTTTGGTTTTTTAATCTAGGTCTCTGATTGTTGGTCAAGTAACATAACCACCATATTCCCATTCCTGTTATCTATTTGCAAAAAATATTAAAGATTAATCTAGATATGCAATGGAGACAACACACAGGCCCTAAGTCAGATATTTTACCATGATAGGGACCTTTTTTGCCATAGCGAAAATGTAGCAAGTGTCTACAAATCAGATGTGTTGGCCCTGAACTTGGTTGTCCTTATTTTTGTGGTGGCTGGAAAGGAAACAAACTAGGTTTTGCATATACACATTTTACGAATGCACTTGACCACTTATATCACAGATGCCTTCACTGTAGTGGGAATTTAGCATCCCTATAGCATCAAACCTGGATCGTGTACATTAGATCAACTTAGAGCACTCCTGATGTTTGAAAGTTAGTTTGGATAGTCAGAGTATCCCTTTGGTGGAGTAAGGAAGCCTTTTATATATTGGACTGGGACATTTTGGGGCAGTTCAGATTATCTTAGGTACCCTTGCAGATGGGGCTCAGGTACCCTTACACAGAATTATGTATTATGGGATTGTTAAAAAGCACACACACATTTCCATAAAAGGTGCTTACAACTAATAAAACTGTCAAAGAACTGTCAAAACTACCAAACAATTTGTTTTCATAAGGGATTAGTTGAATGAATTTGAATGTGATGAATGTTGTTTTTTTAAAATAATTTCAGTTTTTTTTTAAGTAGTCACATTTAATCAGTAGACTTATTGGGTTGAACAATATAAGACTCTCAGCAATGTGCACAATGGTGAGATTTGTGGTAGAATTGGGCAAAAATTCCAGCAAGGCCCATCTCAATGTTGGGGATGCCTTGCTCCAACGTTTATGCTTTTGATAAGTACGTAAGTTCTTGCTCAGCAGCACTGAGTTGCCAATCAAACTGGATTATTGCTTATTAAATGCCTTGTGGATGGCCCAACATGCCTCATTGATATTTAGTTAGATGTCAAGAAACTTTAACATGGAAATCAGAAGAGAGATCTGGTGTGTTAAACTCATCGTTTTCCTCGGACAACCTCCATGTTGGACACTCTTCATGGCACTGACCACATTCACCCTATGTCCACAGACATTTGATATGTGCTAGCCTCTAAGAACACTCACGGCACATCTCCAATCCACATACAGGTCACTTCTGTACTTCAGCATTGGACCTTGAGCTACACCGACAACTATCTTTGTAATGCGGCAACAAGGGCACTGCGTGCTCAGCGGCACCCATCCAGCTCATGGACTGGGCCAGGCTGCATCTTCGGGCTTGTTCCTTGCTGTCATAGCACTCACTCACTCTGAACCTATCTGGACTGGCATTGCCTTGCCTTGCCTTGTCTTTGGAAGGAAGAAAGTTTGTCATGTTTGTCTGCAGGCCTTAGTCAACTCAAAGGAGATAGCCGTCAGTCAGATAGTCCCAGCACAAGTCAAGGACAGCCTCCAATATCAGGACAGAGCCTACTTTGGCCGGTCAGAGTCATGATCAGCTGTATAGGGTGCTGATGGGGCCACACCTGGAGTGCTACGTACAGTTTTGATCTCCTTACTTGAGAAAGGATGTACTGGCACTGGAGGGGGTGCAGAGGAGATTCACTAGGTTCATTCTGGAGTTGAGAGGGTTAGCTTATGAAGAGAGATTGAGGAAACTGGGACTATACTCATTGTAATTTAGAAGAATGAGGGTGGATCTTATAGCAACGTATTAAATTATGAAGGCAATAGATAATATAGAAGCAGGGAAGATGTGTCCACTGGTGGGTGAAACTAGAACAAGAGGGCATAGCCTCAAAATTAAGGGATGCAGATTTAGGACTGAATTGAGGAGGAACTTCTTCACCCAAAGGGTTGTAAATCTGTGGAATTCCCTGCCCAGTGAAGTGTTTGAGGCTTCCTTGTTGAATGTTTTTAAAGCTAAGATAGATAATTCCTTGAACAGTAAAGGAAGTAAGGGTTATTGTGAGAGGGTGGATGAGTGGAGCTGAGGCCACGAAAAGATCAGCCATGATCTTGTTGAATGGCAGAGCAGGCTCGAAGGGTCTATTCCTGCTTCTGGTTCATATGTCTGGGGTAAATATCAAGAACTGTACAGAGCAGCTCCAGTCTGGCAGTCCTTGTCCAGATGCACAACAGGCTTTTAAAGATGGTTCAGGCCCAAGAAGTGCTGGTGCATTATAGAACAGAATCATAGAATGCCTACAGTGTGGAAACAGGCTATTTGGCACAATACTGACCTTCCTAAGACCATCCCACCCAGATCCATCCCCCTGCCCTATCCCCGTAACCCTGCATTTCCCACAGCTACCCACCTAGCCTGCACATCCCTGAACACTATGGGCAATTTAGAATGGCCAATCCACCCCTAACTTGCTCATCTTTGGACTGCAGGAAGAGTCCAGATCACCCAGAGGAAACCCACACAGACACAGTGAGAATGTGAAAACTCCACACAGACAGGCACCCAAGGGTGGAGTCGAACATGTCTCCCTGGCGCTGTGAGGCAGCAGTGCTAACCACTGAGCCACCATAGCCATTAAGTAGCAGGTTGCTCTGGGAACAACGTATGGTAATATGGGTGTAGAATTGGGTGTGACAGATACCATAGAGATCGGGTAGGTAGTTAATGAGGCAAGTTTAGTAAGATATAGTGAGAAAACTTGCTAGGTCTTGCAATGCAACTTGGAAAGGCCAAAATCTCTAAGATTGAGTGTATAACTTTATTTTATGGGTACATGGCAAAAGAGGTTTGCTTGTTCTGTGTTGTCCTGCATGTTTGGAAGGAACTTGGCAAGGCCACAACAAAAATACAACCTCTTGGGACAATCATTCCTGAACCTGGTCTGTGGAGTGTGCATGGGCCTCAAACAAAAATGCGGCCCCAGCATTTTAATGTGGATATCAGAACTTCATAGCTTTAAAGCTGTGTTTGAATAGTCACTTGCATTGCCATTGCGTGAGGGCTATGGTTTAAGAGCTGGAAAATGGGATTAATGTAGTCAGGCCTTTTTGACTGGTGCAGATACAATGGATTAAATGTCTCCTTCTGTGCTGTAAATGTCTATAAATCTGTAGAAGTGTCATCAGCTGCAGAAACTTGCAGAACTGAAGCAGCAGCTTTAGTCAGTGTGGTGCATCTGAAAGGCTTAGAGTGAAATGGACAGCACATTCAGCGAGGTGGTCACATTGTAGTTTACCCATATTGTTGAACTATTGTTCAGCATTACAATGTGTGATGTAAAATGCATTTAAAATAGTCTTATCAGGGAGCCAGAATTCCCTGGAGTTGCTGTAATTTTAGCAGTGAATAAAGGGCTATACTCACACATACCGTATCAGATCTAACAATGCATCTGCAGAGCTCATGATTGGCTTTCCACTGTCATCGATACTCTCCTTCTGGGCTGCACCACCAGGATGTATGATAGAGACCATAATTATTCCTATAACGACAGCTACAAAGGTCGTCCAGAGGTAGTATGCAATTGTGATGAGACCCAATCGACTTGAAGCTTTTGCATCCAAAGCCGCCAGTCCAGATATCAAGCTGGAAAACAAACTTGAATAGTGCAACTGTTTTCTGAACATGTCTGCCTGTACTTTACTCACTGCATTGTTTTTTCTCCTCCCGTTCTGAAGTAGATCACAAAGGAGAATGGCTCCATTGTACTCCTCCAATACCTTGATTGCATGGTGGCTTGTCCTTTGCATCAAGTATCAAGAAACAAACACTGAGAATGCTGGAGAAATTAAGCAGCCCTAAAGTTATGAAGTATAGTCGTACTGGACTTGAAACATTACCTCTCCAAAGATCCTGCCAGACCAGCTGAGTTGCTCCAGCATTCTCTGTGTTTGTTTCTGATTTTAAGCATCAGCATATTGTTTTCACTTTGCTTTTGCCTCCCTACTACTGAGCTATCATTCTAGAAATCCAGTCTATTATTCTACTAGTTTTCTGTCCCAACATTGGCTGGAGAAAAAATGATTCACATGTTTCGTCCCTGAAATAGCTGCAACAATTTCCCCAGTCTAAGTAGCCACTTACTTCTGAGCGGTCAGAATCCCTTTAAATGTTAGCTAAGTGCTACTTTTATGCAGTGCTCTGCTCCATTTTGACCACTTTGACAAGCTTCCAATATTCAACACAGGCCATGAGTACATTCATGAAATAGGGTGAATTCTAAGAAAATGTGTCATGTTATAGAACTTACTGTGGTCTGATCCAAATCCAATAGCATTAGGGATTGAGAAATTAACAGTTACCTATCTGCCAATATTGACTGTAGCACTATAATGGAGCTGCATTAAGAAACCATTCTCTTTTATATTAATACATGGAATAGTTCATTATTTGATTTTCATCAGTGCTTATGGTATAAGTGTAATATGCTCAGTACTGAACTATAAGTGTAAAATGATATCATATTCAGAATCCTGATATGTCTGTACAGGTTGACCACAGCAAAGGTGCTGCTTAGGGAGCTGTAACTGAACATAGACTCCCTCTGGAGTTAAGCAAAGAGTGGGAGAATGATAGCTAAAATTACTGCTCTCAATTGCACTACCCCTGTTCGAAGTTCTCATCTGTAGAAGTGAGGTGAAGTAGTCGACTAGCTAGACTCAACTGCTTGAGTGGTTCATCAATGGTCACTGTGAGATGAAAACCACCATTTGAATGAAGTAATGGAAGTCATTCTGTCCTGTGAAAATGTAGAGTTTAACAATGTACATGTCAAGAGGAAAGGAGAACAATGGGAAGGGAGAACAATGATCAGGGAGGAGAAATGATTTAGAAAGTTGTGGCATGTCACTCTTCTTAGTAAAATTCACTTAAACTTTAAAAATATGCTTTTTACAACAAAAGTCAGTCAGTCTTATTTGAAGCACAATGACTTTTTATTATAAAATTAACGAGAACATTGATATGAATATCACAGGTGCATTCAAGGGCAAGTTAGATAAGCACAAGAGAGAGAAAGGTATAGATAGGGAAAAGCTCATGCAAAGATTTAATGGATTAAAACTGTCATCAGATTAATTTAGAAAATGTATCATTTTATTTGCTTGCCAGTATTTTTATTGATTTATATTCTGGTTGGATTGGCAAAAGCCAATTAACAATAATATGGTTGGCTTTAAATCTAGAGTTTTAAAATAACCTGTAAGTCATGGGATAACAAATGTTGGCATTACAAATATTAATCTCAAAGGGAACATGTATAATTTAGAGCAAATATTCTTTCATACTTTTGGGATATGTCCCTGGGTAGTTATCACATAGGCTGGAAAACAAAATGATACACATTAGGATGCAAATATGCCATCATAACAAATGTTAAACCTTCTTTTAGAACATAAGAACTTAGAGCAGAAGCAGGCAGTTCATCCCCTCAAACCTGCACCAGCATTTGATATGATCATGGTTGATCTTATCTTGGCCTCAACTCCACTTTCCTGCCCGTTTTTGATAACCCCTTCAACGCATCACAAGTAAGAACATTGACTCACTGCACAAATTCAGGAACTGATTGCCTCTGTTGTTTGTAGTGTGAATATACATATAGTCTCATTAAAGGCCTTTATAATTTCACTTCAAATAACTCAAAATTGACAATTTACCCCTCTGTTTCTTATATTGTTTTAACTTCCATTGATCTCATAGCATAAGGGCAACTCGGAAATTCTGTGGAAACGGATTTAGCCAATAAATGCTTTGATTGAGGGTTTGCAGATACTGAGATTTATTGCCCTGAGGTGAACATTGCATTAATATCTAAGCCACAAGATCAGGCAGGTTTAATGTTTGCCACTTTTTATCGTTTAATCAAAGAGATCATTCTGTTGCATCGTATCATTCTACTCTTGAGTGAAAATCATACCAACTAGATTTTCTTTAGTTGTGGAATTATTTCAAAATGTAAATCAGAAGTAAAAGTTGACAAATTTGCAGAGAAGCTAGGCACTGAAAATTCATAAGTCCCTTTTAGCATTTTCATACTAATTCATCATGATGCCCACTGAAACCCCACTTCTACTTTATAATCTTTCTACAGTGAGCATGCAATATGTTTACGGTGGTAAGGAAAACCCAGGAAACTATAGACCGGTGAGCCTAACGTGGGTGGTGGGCAAGTTGTTGGAGGGAATCCTGAGGGACAGGATTTACATGTATTTGGAAAGGCAAAGAATGATTAGAGACAGTCAACATGGCTTTGTGCATGGGAAAATGTGTCTCACTAACTTGACTAAGTTTTTTGAAGAAGTAACAAAGAGGATTGATGAGGGCAAAGTGGTGGACATCATCTATATGGTCTTCAGTAAATCGTTCAATATGGTTCCTTATGGTAAATTGGTTAGCAAGGTTACACCACATGGAATAGAGGGAGAACTAGCTATTTGGATGTAGAACTGGCTTGAAGGTAGAAAACAGAGGGTGGTGGTGGAGGGGTTGCTTTTCTGGAGGCCTGTGACCAGTGGTGTGCCACAAGGATCGGTGCTGTGTCCACTGCTTTTTGTCATTTATATGAATGATTTGGATGTGAACATAGGAGGTGTGGTTAGAAAGTTTGCCGATGTCACCAAAATTAGAGGTGTAGTGGATAGCAAAGAAGGTTACCTCAGAGTACAATGGGATCTTGATCAGATGGGCCAAAGAGCTGAGGAGTGGCAGATGGAGTTTAATTTAGATAAATGTGAGGTGCTGCATTTGGAAAGGCAAATCAGGGCAGGACGTATACAGTTAACGGTAAGGTCCTGGGGAGTGTTTTGAACAAAAAGACCTTGGAGTGCACTTTCATAGTTCCTCGAAAGGGGAGTCGCAGGTAGATAAGGACAGTGAAGAAGGCGTTCGGTATGCTTGCCTTTGTCGGTCAGTGCATTGAGTATAGGAGTTGGGGGGGGCATGTTGTGGCTGTACAGGGCATTGCTTAGGCCACTTTTGGAACACTGCATGCAGTTTTGGACTCCCTGCTACAGGAAGGATGTTGTGAAACTTGAAAAGATTTATAAGGATGTTGCCAGGGTTGGAGGGTTTGAGCTATAGGGAGAGGCTGAATAGGCTGGGGCTATTTTCCCTGGAGCATCGGAGGCTAAGGGGTGATCTTATAGAGGTTTTTAAAATCATGGGTTAAAAGACAAGGTCTTTTCCCCTAGGTGTGGCAGTCCAAAATTAGAGGGCATAGGTTTAAGGTGAAAAGGGAAAGATTTGAAAGGGATCTAAGGGGAAACTTTTTCACGCAGAGGGTAGTGCATATATGGAATGAGCTCCCAGAGGAAATGGTGGAGGCTGGTAGAATTACAACATTTATATGAATAGGAAAGGTTTGAAGGGATATGGGCTAACTGTTGGCAAATGGGACTGGTTTTATTTAGGATATCTGGTTGGCATGGACGAGATGAACCGAAGGGTCTGTTTCTGTGGTGTACATCTCTATGAATCTATGTAACACCAAGATTCTGTCCCTCATTGCTGAATTGTTGCTCCCAAAAGGTAATGGCACTACAATTCCCCTACTGTATGTTGCTAGAGACTCTAATAGACCAGAAAACTTGCTAGGTACCTATTTTGGTTTGCTATGAAGTTTTTTTTTGTTGTAAGGCTTGCTGAATTTTGCTGATGACAGCATGTTTGTCAGGGGCACCATCTTTGCTACTGTAATTTTTCGAGTCTGCAGCTAAGCTGTGCTCTTTTTTGAGGTTGAGAATGTGGATGGAGAATGAAACGATTTCAGATTGCTAATATACAGTAGACTGGCATTAATTCATTAGTACCCATAGCCTTACAGTGTATTTGTTATCAGACCAAAGAGTATCCAGATTCCAGGTACATTGTTAGGCTGCTGTTTCTCAAGAGAACAGGGTCATCAAAGCAAGGAAAAATTGGATTTTGATGTTATTTTAGCACTTAACCCAATGGAGAGAAATATCTAGGTTACATTCTTCATGTTCTCCAATTGTTCTTGTTTCCACGCCAAGAATTTTGCTGTAAAAACAGGTAACTGCATTGATCTTTATACCAAAACAACTCACTTCCACAGAGTTGTCATCAGCAAGACCTTGGGACAATTTTCTTCCTGATTCCTACTCCATGATCCTCCAAAAGCAACATAACCCATATCAGGGAAGTAGAGGATCACATTTGTACCTCCTTCCTATAGTGGCAGTCAAATATCACTGACCATACGTCAGTTTGTTATTGGCCACACATTAAACCTATATCTATACATGTTCTAATAGTGACATTTATCAATGTAAATTTTTCACTAATAAATCAACTGGTTGATCAGATACATACATCAGATTAACTACTGCAGAAAAGCAAAGCTTCCCATTTTATTTCTAAGGATATCAATTTTATCGCTTCAAAAGTACTGATGTTCTTTGTATTCAATTTTGTTATTTTGTTCTCAATAGGGGGCTTTTGTTAACTATACTCATAAAATCTGAAACAATTATATTGTGCTATGTAAGTGCCAATAAACTATTAAAACACACTCACATTCCTCCTGCCTGACTGTAACAGAGATTGCAGTGTTCGCTCCATAGCAG